TATTAGGGACCTTAAGCAGTCAGGACGGCAACGCCAAGGAAGACTTCGATTAAAAAATGAATTTCTACTCTTAGTTAGAGTTTAAAAAATGGCTGCATGAGCTTACTGTCTCATACGACGCCACAGCTCAACTTCAGCATGACGTATAAAAGCAGCGTTGAGTTCCAAATGGAAATTAAAATAATTTGCCGTCGCGGTATCGGTTCGCAGACGACGCAAATGTTGACGATTTCACGTTGTTGTTTTGCATAGGACGGCTAAGAAATGTACTAAGTTTCAAAATGCACGTGCTGAGCTATTGTTCTGCCAATTAGATCTCTTGTTTCTCCACGTTCTCGTTGCCGTCGCCGTCGTGGTTGCCTAAGGTCCCTATTATTGATCCGGAAACTTTCACGTCTCCCGCGAGAAACTTAATAATTGTTTGATGTAATCCACAGATCCTTCTTCAATCAGCTAGCACGCTGTTTAGCTCCGATAACAAGGATGTCTGGGGCGTCGTTCAACAGGTAATAAACGAATTTTTTTTGTTGTTAGCAATTTTTGTTTGAATTTTGCCAGTAATCCAGGGTTGACTTGTCAGTTTTCTATTTTACTATGCTCTGTTACTCGCGCCCTTTCAGTAAGTCACATTACGGCAAACAGAAACCACTAACAATAATAACACTTTCTTCTTGTTTAAGGCCGTTTACATATTCTCTTTACGTGAGATATTTTCCTCTGTTCTAATTGGTTCTTGCGATCCTACACTCATTGGGAAAGCGCGCTAATACTTAGATAGTTTTCGGATATCCCGTTAGTCATTCACAGGAAGCTTTTTTCTCAATTTTTTCTGCTTCGGCTCCAGTTTTCAAAAACGTTGACAACGTTCATTTAGTTGCAATCGGTTGATATGCACAGACCGTTGACATGCGTAATCCGTTGAAAACGTGGGCAGAAGTTAGCTGCCAAGTCGCAGGTATTACAGGCCGATCAAGATTACTCTTCAGATTCATTTGAAAACTGCTTCCACAAAACACGTGGCAAGTGGAATTGCAACTTGCTTGTAGAAGGATGCGCGCACACACACACAATCTTTGCTTAGGCTGACGCTAGACCGAAGGCTCTGGCAGTAAGAGCAAGAGTTGTACTTCGAACAAGGTGGTTTTTCAGAGTAGTAGATATTTTTTTATGTACACTGACCACACTATTACCTTTCAGAGACCTTATAAGCCCTTCATCTTGACTACTATTTCTTTCAATTTCACAGAAATCCGCAGGGACAGCAGCTCTGTTACAACAGATGGAGAACTTCAGCGGCAACTTAGCCAGAAGTCTGCCGTACTTAAAACGAGACTCGCATAGATACAGGCGTTCTACTGAAAGCATTTTGCCGCCATACACGATTCTTACTCCCAATATTGGTAAGAAATATCTGTTTTTTCGGTCTAAGTTGAATTTTTTTTTTTAAATCAAGGACCATCTTATCAGGCGTGGTATTTTCTGGTGTAGTATTTGTAAAAATCTTTGTAGTTTATATCTTAGAATACCGCAACTGCGCCCTTTTCAAGAGTATATTACTCAAACTATAGAAGCTATTTTTGGACTCACCAAGCGGACGGTTTCGTTGAAAACAAACAATTGCTTTTACTTGCTAATATCCACGGCTTTTTTTTCATAGTATTGGAACTTCATCCAGTTTATGTCAAAGGATTCTCTGGATTATCGTACCCCGCGAGAGCTGACCTTTACAGCGACGCTCCTTACAAAATCTGGCGGAATATATCTAATAGAATTGATCTTCCTAAAGCTTTCTTTCGCGGCAAAGGTAAGTCGTTTATATGACGTAGCCTGTATAAAAAACACCAGGTTTTATTCTGGAGCACGATTTTTACGGGATTAAAAAGTTGAAAAATTGTACCCATGCTATTTTATAACGTATGAACATAAATTACATAACTGATCAGAGGATTGATATGAAAGCTTCCATATAAAACTCGGCTCGAACTTGAGAACTTGTTGCTGTCTAAATTGCTTTCTCTTCGTTTTCTCGTTGACTAGACTGTGCATAGAGCCCCAAACACCTTTATGGGGACCCTCTTTTGTGGACCCCCTTTTTTTTTTATAAAGGACCCTCTCAGAGTAAAAAAAAGAGCCCTTTGGGACCTCTTTGGGGAGTTTCTAGAATAAACCCTCGAACGGCAAAGTTAATGCGCGTTTGGATACTGCGTGCGCACGGAAAAAACGATGGTCAGGAGGGCTGGCTCCCAACCTCAACTAAGCGAGGTTCGTGGTGAGTGTGTTCTTTTACGAGCAGTATTGACATGTTGTGAGTAACAGCTCTTTTAAAAAACTAAATATTTTATTTTGTTTTAGATGTGGATGAAAACTTGGGAGTTGCTTTCATGATCGTCAGAAATATTGGAGATTTATTGCCCAAGGCGTTTGACGCGAAGATTCGGTGCGTAACATGTAGAAAATGCATCGAAAGGATGTGTGAATATAAGTGTCTTAGAAAATTTTTGGTTTTTCCCTCAGTATTTAGAAAGGCCCTAATCTATTTTTTCCTCGGATTTTTTTTTTACGGACTTCGCTTAAAAGCAGGGACTATTCGTAGTCCACGTTGGTTTTACTGAAAAATAGAACATGTACCAGAAATAATTGAAAATACAAGTGTACCTAAAGATTCGACCATAACTGCTATTCTATTTTTGTTTTTTGGTTTTTTTTTATAAAACTTATATATTTTCTTCATTCTAAACGAGCCCTTGTTGTAGTTTGTATATCTTAAAAGCCTAAATGATTTCCAAGTTTGACATCTTCATTTCCTGTTGACTCTTCGACTCCCAGAGGTGACCAAGACAGAATTTCTTCTTCCAATATCAATAAGGGTTTTACTAGCCGATCCAATACCAAATTCTCCCAACTAACATTACAATAATTGTATGGCAGAAGGTAAGGAGAAATACTAACGAGATCTTGGAGGTGAAAGG